TTTTTAGCATTAAATATTAGGATGGGCTATGGTTTATTCCGTAAATATGTTTGAGCCAAAACATCTTACGTTTCTCCTCTGGTTTTCTTTGCAGTAGACCTCAGCAAGAACAAAGCAAGCAATGTGAATACCTCTTTTTTTTTTTTTCCTCTCCTTTTTAAAACAGAAACCAGCTGCTTCTGACGCTTTCATTTTTTGATTTGCTTTCCTGTAGAAACACTTCTTATATGGGGGGGAGATATTCCAAGGAGTTGGCAGTTCCCCCAAAGCCCTATTCGAGTTTTCCATGATATTGATTTTTATTTTCTGGAACACAAGGGATGCACACACCGTACTCCGCAGTCCATCAGAAGTTTTTCCGGCTTAGCTGGAGGGCTTTGTTCAAGCAGAGTGCACGCTTGCTTACACAGTCTTTCTTATTCCCCAGAATAACCCAGCTTTTGCCACGGAGCTGGGCAAGCTGCCTTTGCAGTGCTCCCTGAGGGGCACTCTTGATTTTCAGAGTAGAGGAGACAAAGTTATGCTAAAGGACTTGGCTCACATGGGTCCCTTCAGGGCTTTAAATGCCTAGGGATATGGTTAATAGTCAAGGTTAATAAAATATTTGACACAACTGTGCCAGTCTTGCTTAGAAGCTGTTCATTGTAATGGATGTAGGGGGCTCAGAATAATGAATTCTGGTGGGAATGTGAAGGGAAAGATTTAAATTTCTTTTCCCCAAGTGGGAATGTTTCAAAACACACAGTGATTGAAGTCTGCCTGTCCTTTTCTTATACAACGTGCGGCAGCTTTAAGCCAGCCTCCCTGCATCGCGTGCCATGCGTGTTCACTAGGAGAACTTCCCAAAAGGAGATGTCAGCTGCATCCTCCATCTTGCGTTAGCACAGTGTGCCAGGTCAGGGGGGAAGGAAGGCCCTCCAAAACTCACCTTCTCCCTATCTAGCTTCCAGCTTTCTCGCTCTGTTTTTCCTCTCTTTCTCGGAGCTCATGTTTTGCTGTCTACCATGCTGCCTCTGTTGCTGGAATATCTTTTCTTGTCTGAAAGTTGGTACTTTCTTCTCTCCACCCTCCCTGAAGATTTCTTCCTTCTGTGAAATCTATAAAAACTGTGTTGAGAAAGCTATCAGTCTGAGTTATTAAAACTTAGCTTTAATTCAACAACAATCTCTTTAACTTGGTCCCTGCACCGGGTACTGCTAATATCAAGGGGTGCACTTCTTTCTACGTATTGTTCATCACCTTTCTCCTCATCTGGTGATTATTAAATTGGTTACTCAATTGAGTGCAGAGTTTGTCCCCTATCTGTATTAGACGTAGGAACTAAAATACACTTCTGAGCATCAAGAAAGAATGGTTTGCTTGCATGAACAATTTTCATTTTCTGGGAAAAATTAGTATGAATTATTTTCTTGTATCCCATATCTATTCTGAGATGTAAGGTGCAATTTTCAATCACTAGCCTTTACTATTCACTTTGAAGATGTCACCTGAGATCAGCTTGAGATATCTACAGCTTTTTGTACTAGCTTGTCTTCTTACAGATGCACAGCAACTACTTTCAGTCAGGCTTTGGTGAATTTGAAAAGAATGCATCATCTTGTAAGATTGGTATCCCAAAATGGATTTCTGAACTCTGCTTTTTTTCTTTTTTTTATAACTTTAATCATTATCCTCAGCCTAAAAAATGCTGTGGCTACAATGGCAAACAAATGTCTATTTTAAAATAAAATTAAAAAATCAGTTGGGTACAGGGTGCTGGAATTAGTCTCTTTATGCGCAGAAATTGGGCACCAAATGAATTAACTGATTGTTGTTGTGTTTATTTTTCTATTCTAATAAATACTGTGTCAATATTTTTCAATATATACCTAAAGTATTTTTAGTAGTGGAGAAAGTTGTTACTAAAATAGTTATTAATCTCATAGCATTTCCATTAGTTTGCACTTAAAATAATAAAACATCAAGTTTGTGGTAGATGCAATTCTCCAGCTAACCTAAGTGGGATCTAGATCAAGCTCTGCATAAGAATATATTCTTAATTTGTCCCAATATCTGTTAGGAGTTTCCTCTCCAGAGAGTAAAAAGCGCAGTCCGTGCCATGGCGTTTCTCTTATAAATTCCCAGTTTAACTAAGAGGCAGAGGGGGAAGGGGACACGCACATCGGAACCTGCTTCCTGCCGTTGGCAAATAGCAACAAAACTTAAATAACAACTTTTATATTTTTAATGGTTGACACCTGGCATCAAGTGTTCAAAATCACTTTTTAAACTTCTGATTGCAGAGGTTGACTCTCTGATGTAGTACTGTCTCTTCGATGTCTCCTTAACAATAAATGATTTATAACCACCGTCAGTTATAGCTTTTGCAATGGGTCAAAAGCAAACCAAAACCAAACCCCAACAAAAAGAGCAGAAAAATGAACTACTTGTCCCAGAGCTGGTTTCTGCAATGAATGAAATTTTACAAACGTCAGAACAGTGTTTTCCATGAATATTTTGCATTTCCATGCATTTAATTTATGCTCTTTACATTTGTCTTTAAGTAGTTCAGCAGCTATTTAGCAGCTGTTTTCACTCATCTTTTAACGTCCACTTGTCTTTACTGTTAGGCACTGTTCAGATGCATTCCTAGCAAGAGGAGTTGTTGTGACTGTTTATTAGGCGACATCATTTGCCTGCCGTCCTGGAAGATTTTTAAGTGTGTGTTCACTAAAATGTACAGCATTGCTGAGGAACCTTTTGCGTTTTGCTACTTTGCTTCATCTAATGATCTAGTTCTACAATGATGAGTTTGTTTACTTATTTTTGGAGGTGACACTGAAATCTGTGGGAGTTGACCCTTGAGGTGAGAATTCACGTTACTTAGAGTATGAATATTAGTTTAATCTCCTCGTAGACATCCATAGACTTACTGGTGGGTGCAGTATGCACAAAAAGTATGTTTTTCTTCATGCTGTGCGCATTATTCTGTGGGATATTTTTTTTTTTAGTGCATCCTTCTGAAGTTACATAAAGGTACTAAATCTTCAGGCTTTAGCTGTGCTGACTGTAACCAAAATGATCAATTCCAACTAGTTCTACATAATATCTAACAAAAACGTTTTCCCTACACACTCATTGGAACGGGTAATTACTGTAGCAACTACAGACTAATTTGAAGTGTTAGCTGTTAATTAAAACGCTACAGAGGTGTACGGTTGTCTTTTGGTGTAACCAAAGCTCCTATTCAAACTTCATTAATCACTTTACAGTTACTGTGTTGAGGAAGGTCAGGACAATCGAGATGCCGGACCAGCCTGGAGTAAACAAATTCCTTTCCTCCCAGGTAGCGTGCCATTTGCAAAGCCACTGGACACGCTGTACCCATGGGCATGGTGTCTCCTTTGTGATCCAATTCTCAGCGATAATTAAATGTTAAATTGGTACTGTCAGTGCTCTGTAAACCAAACCAGGTATCTGCCCTCTGCTGGAAATTTAACCCAAACTTCCACGGATGAATTAGCGTGCATCATAATTAAATAATCAAGTCTTCCCTTTTAATTCACTTGGAAACAGGAGATCTCTCTTACGGAAAAAAGATCAGCTTTCTTGACAAGCTAATTAAGTTGCCAAACTGTCCAGCACAGTACATATTAAGCTAACAGACGTTAAGCATGCTATCTCAACCTGTTCATTTTCTTATCATTTCTGCTGATCTTAAGTCCATAATGTTTTGCCACTGTTGATTCATCCATAGTTACAGCAGAGTTCATTTACTCCGTTGGATTCATTGATTATGCATTCGGCTACCAGTCTGTCAGAGCTTCGTCTGACGACTTTGCTTTTTGCGTGTTGTACTGATATTAAATAACAGTGACTTTTGGTATGCCTTTTTAAACTGTGTTTGCTCCTAAAAGCTAATGCCACTGGGTTACATAAATGTTTATCCATGAGTTACTAAATTAAGGTGAATTTTTTAGAAACTTCCGAGCTATTAACAGAAATTATATAAGTGCTCAGGGTTATAAATAAGATTAAACAACGGTCTTGCCCTGTGCTATGTATGATTTTGCATCCAAAAAAAAAAACTATTAAAGCTTTTCTTCTTCAGTAATAATTGCTAGAGGTATATAGTGATAAAATATTATAATTCTTTAAAGTTAGTGCCACATATATGACATTACTGTGCATGGTGTCATAAATCAGTATGAGACAATAAAACTAGTGAAGAGGAAAACCTGTAATGGTTTTGTTTTTATGCAAAACTACATCGGATTTTTAGTAGACATTTTTTTTTGCCTACCTTTTTATTTTCTTACAAGTTCATGGTTAGGAATACACAAGTCATTGTTAAATAGCCAATTATGAATGTTTGTCTTCAGAAATTAAGACAAACTGCTCTCGAAATACTGTGGGGAAAATTATTTTGGGTACACGTGAGCATTAACAATAATGCTTTCTAACCTTATATGCGCATACACATGCTGATCTTAAATACAAATGCAGAAAGGTCATTTCGCAAATATTTTCTGTGGGTCCTTAGGTTATGATAAAGAATCATCATTACCTGTTTTACTTCACTTTAATTGATATAGCTGTGTATCTCACTGTCTTACCACTGGAAATACCCGTAGGACTGGCAAACCCGCGTGATAAACCTTGTTTTACGTGAAGATTCTGAATAATGGATATATCATAATTTTATTTCATTGAAAGAAAATGTGAAAGTGGATAAATTCATACTTACAAGTTTGTTATTATGCTGTACAAAAGTCTTTAATGTGTAGATTTTATATAAAACATGCAGATGTAAAAACCTACTAAATGGTTTCATTGTAAGTATATTGTTCTGATCAATTGTTTTCATCAGTCTTTCTTTAGAAATGCTACATAAAATTGGTTTAACGTAAAACGTATTAGCCCCAAGTCATTTTTCTGTGAAATTAGCGTATACATGTTGCACATATGTATAGAGGTAATTTTATGTGATCTCAAGTTATTTAATTTTTTCCCTCATGCAGGGCATATCATGTCCCTAGTGGAAAAATACTAGCAGTAAAGGTAAGATATTACAGTAATTTTCTTTCTCTCTTTCTCTCCACTCTTTCTTGACCTTGGTTTCCTTCCCCTCCCTCTGATTGTTAGATCTCAATTTGTTTTATTGCATTGAAGTCCACATTGTTTATGCAGGAAAAACTCTTGTCCATAAATCTGGTGATTCCAAGTGAGCACAGAGTTCTCAGAATCCGGGTTTCGCCCACCGGGAATTGCTTGGCACTGTGTGTAGGTACCGCCACGTCTTCCCGTGGGGTTACGTGGATGTGTCCGAGTGCAGTTGTGGTTTGTGCCTCTCCAGCGACCGGCAGAGATGCTGCTCCACCGTCCTGAACCCCAGTGTTACAGGAGTGGGGATGGAAAGGTCGCGGGATGTCAGCCTGTACCTTTCTCTGCTAATGCCAAACTGTCCCCAAGGGCATATTCTTTGAGTGGTCTCTGCAACCTCATTTTTAAATAGAATTTCCCTGTTTGGGATAATATTCTGTTTTCCTAGCACATTTTCTGGTTTTAACAGGTTTGTTTATTTTAATGTTCTGCCCCCCACCCCCGATTGTTTTGTTTTGTTTTTTTATCCAACTGATTTGGCCTTTTTTTTTCTTGTTAGCATTCTTTGCAGTGAAGCTGTACACTGTAGTGTTACGTGGTCAGATAAATGCCAGTCTTTGAAATTCAGTTAGAACTGTGGTAAACTAATAGCACAACTCAGACAACAGTATACCAACCCATGTATGTAACTTGTTAAATTAAATTTGTAAATTAAATTATTAATACCGTTAATCTATACAAAAATATTGAAATATGTCCTTTTTGAATATATCAAACAATTTTTTTTATTTTGGCAGTTTTGTTTTAACTCAAAGCAGTAGAGACTTTTGGAAAACAAATTAATTGTTGCGTTCATACAATTCTAATTATAATTAATAGTTAGGGATCTAAAAAGTATATTTTAAAAAAATAATTTCTGGAATAATTACTTAGAAAACTGTAAAATGGGCTTTTTGTCTCTTTTTTTCTGTCTTTAATAATTAAATTCTGGTGTAACTGAGTTGAACTGAAAGAATGTGGGAAAGGAGGGCAAGAGGAGGAGTGATGGGAGCTGGTTGCTGCAAGCAGAATTGGTGTTAAATGGAATTTAAAGATGTAAGATTTATACTAAGACTTCAAATTAAGCCTTTATATCTGCCAGGCAATATTTACATATATGGGTAACTTTGAGATTTGGGCTCAGATTGTCTTGTGGTTCCAGTCAGATATAATTTACTGAAAGAAGATTCTGCCCCTGTTTCGGCTTTCCTGAGGATCACATAAACCCCTTCACCCAACTAGGAGAAACGCTTTTGACTTTCCAATTAATTGAAGAAAAGCAAACGCTTACTACTGGATTTGAAATGATTCTACACATGTGGAAAATATGGAAATTGAAATAACATCCAAATAACTTCCAATTATATGGAATACAAATATCACTTGAAAAAGTTTTTGAAAAAGTCCTTTCAAGCGGTATCCGTCATTCCTAAACCCGTCATGAGCAGTTACAGTAAGACAGGAATTCTGAGTTGCAATAGGCACAAAAGCACAGAAAATCTAATAATAAAAAATATTTTTTATTATAGCTTTCAATGTGGAACTAAAAAAAAACTCTTCCCCTAAATGCTGGGGTTGTGAAAGGATGCTGCTTTTCCCTGGTCCCGACTGCATTCCTTCCTCAGATAATCTTTTTCAAGTTCTGCAGAGAGCATCTTCTGTGCCAGCTCTGCTCAGCGCTGGCACTGCTGCTCTCCAGCCTGCCCCGTGCGGCTGTGGGTGCCCTCCGAAGCTGCCTGGAGAGGAGGTGGAGCAAGAGAAAAATCGCACAGGCAGGAGGGGAAATGAGTTCACCCTTTGCAAGGTTAATTGAAATCACCTCCCTGTGGCAAAAATCCTTTTCCCCCAGCAATTCCACCTCCGTGTTTCCCTTAGAGTCCAAGGGTTTGGTTAGTCCTGGTGGATAATAAGCATCCTGAAGATTTGGGAAACGGGGTTCTCTTGTAGATACTACTCATGGTGGTCCTGTCACTCTCAATTATATTTTTTAGTGTGACTTCAGTAGAAATATTGCATCAACATGTGTGTATTATCATAGTTTAAAACAACATGCTCACAAACTGGAGGTCAGGAAACCTGCCATGATAGTGATTGTGCTGGCTTGCTCTATTAAGAAAATTACTTGACAGGTCTATGGCTCGGCATACCCAGCAATAAAAAGAGGATGGTAATGCCAGCGTCTTGACACGGATATCACAAGGATCAAGTGTTTTGGCAGAGGATTGCCACGCTAAAAGGGACATCACTGGTTGGATCTGTGAAAGCAGAGTTCTGCATTTTGGGGGCTTTTTTTGACAATAATATACAGATTTGATAGGACAAGATAACATTCTGAAAACCTGTTGATTAAAATGCTTTCAGCTGGTAGTTAATCTTGCAAATATATTGAACAGGAGAACAAACCAATGCTAATACCTGTATTGTAGACCAAAGCTGTCTGTCATTACATATTTTATGTAAACTTTACAGCTAGATAATGTGCAGAGGATTCACCAGACTTTTCTAAGGTAACTTTTTTCTAATTAGAGGGAAAAATCGAAATGAAAAATTTGAGCGTACGCTGGCTGATTGCCATTCTTCAACTGCTTTTAGTTTCTCCTGCTCTTAAGCTAGCATTTAAATGGACCATTTGATTAATCATTTGTATACTGACTATAATACTCCCAAATTTCCTTTGAGTTGTACATACTGTAAAAGACAATTATGTCGCCACAGATTAAATAAGTGAATTAAAACAGAATAGCAGCTTAATTTGACCTGTGATTTTGCTCTCGTTCCCTTTAGTGGAACGTATGCCACTCCAGCAAATAGATGAAGTCATCCATGACAGCTTGTGATGAATTGCCGTATTTATACTGTATATTTTAATAGCCTCACACTAATTTAAATTGAGCACAGAGTAAATTATAATTCAGTCACTTGACTGCTTGTATTTAACTTGACAACTCATCCTTATTTGTCCTGGAGGTGTAGTGGAGAGCGGAGGAAATATGCTCAGGTATTCCTCTTTTAAAAATTAACCCTTTCCACTTGAAACGTTAGGTACGTTCATGTATGTTATAAGTGTACTAAGTGATTCCAAGATTGCTGTATTTTAGGCAGGAACTTGATAAGGAAGATGTGCAGGAGTGCTTGGAGCCCCTTGCTGAATCCCAGAGGACTGCCATGTCACTTAAATTAAAAAAAAAAAAACAAAACAACAAAACCCAACAAACAAACAACCAAAAAACCCCCAAAAACCACCAAGCTCCCCTTGTCTAGTATCCTCTTCCAGCTCTACCTGTGAGGCACCAGTTCAACTAGTTTTGAAATCAGGGCAGGCACTGGAGGCTCTCGGCTGCCAGCCCCCCTTCCCCAGCCAGCCCAGGTGTACCCTTGCCCCATCTCTGGATCATCCTGTTCATCCGCATCCCTGAGGCTCGGTTACCCCTTGGCAGACGCGGGTGGCTTGGGGACCAGTGAGCGGCGGCAACCTGCCGAGCTCGTCTGTTCCTTGGACTCTTGGTGGTGGTTTCTGGTGCAAACTTGTTACGAAACTCTGCTCCCGCATGGGTTGAACAGTGCGGTGTCAACTCACAGCACTTCATTCTATGCCTGATTAATTCAGTTTCACTTTTCTGCTCTCAATAATTCTGTGAAAACCACAGTGATTTTTTTGCTACAAAGTTCTTTCCAAAGGTGCCATTTTGGAAAAATTTACTGTCTAATGTTACATCTCATTTGCTTACCTGTGTTACAGTTGTGGAAGTTGCAGTCAAACCCTTATTCACAGCTTTGTCCTTGGTAGCAATGGGTTTGAGGAGGGGGTGTTTTATTTTTCTTGCTTTAACACTGTTCCAGCCCATGCTTAACACTGTCAGCTCACATATTCTTAAAAGTTGTTTTGCCCAAACAAACTTCATTTTCTAAATATGCTTGGAAATTTTATACAAAAAGAGTATGACCACGGAGATTACATTTGCAGATTAAGACAGTGCTGTATAGGTGTGGTTTTTTCTCTTTCTGCCCCCATTTCAGTGCTGTAAACAACATAAGGTTACTCCAACCTTGACATCAGATGGGTGTCTCTCCTGTGTTTTAAGTCACACAAGCCACGCGTGTTTAGATGGAAGAAAACACTTCTGTACAATAGTTATGCAGAGAAAGTGAGACAGTGGTCTCTCCTAATTTATTTTGTGGTGATACGTGCTTGCCATACCGTTGCAGTACATTTCTGTACGTGCCCTACCCTATAGTATCCTGAACACTTGTAGATAGGGTAGCTCTGCTTTTCCAGGTTATCCTCACTATTAGAATGCAGGGTCTGTATGTAATTATAGTTAATGCAAATCAGCCAGAGACCTTTCTTCATGCCAGGTCTTGGTTGATTGGATGTCAGTGATGTATTTGACACTGATCATGCTAACTAGTCATTGTTCAGGTCGGTGAAGCCTTCACAGTGAACGAGGCAGGGAAATTTCTCACTGTGAGTAGAATTTAGTGAGATAAAATTTTAATTTTATACTGTTGACAGGATTAAATTCTGTTAATATTCAATGGGTAAAACTGGTGGTATTCCAGCAAACTATTTTAAGTTTTTCACGCTGGAAAAATGTAAGTGAACATTGTTGGCAAATGATTATTGATCTAGACAAGTGTGTTAAACGTTTCTTGGCAGCCCTTGTATTACACTTACAATTTAGTTCAGTGACAGCTTTTATAAATAACCCTAAAGCAAACTCTTGATAGAAACAGGTTATCGTTTTTTCTTTTAGACAGATTTTGATACTGTAAAATGTGTGTGTTTGGAAATGGTCTCTCTGTATTTTGTTTCGTCAGCAGTATATGCAGCCTATAATATCTATTCTGCTAATTCTGCAAATTGACTAGATTTTGTTTCCCTTTAGCTTAAAGTATTAAACTGTGAAATATTGTGTGGTGGCAGACTGAGCCTGGCTAAATGCATTTGGAGTCCATTTTGGTTTATATAGTAGTACTTAATAATTGAGTGTGCAAGTCTTCAAATAACCATGGCAAAGAATTGTTTCTTAAGGTTGACTGTCAATGCTGGTTCTGTCGGAACCAGCATCCTTATTAAGAAGGTCTGTCTTGAAAATCCTGAAAACTTGTAACTCCAGAGAGTGCACCCCACCTTCACTGCAGCACTTGGTACTTTAGTCCTGGTTAGCACCCTGGCTCAAAATGATGAAAAACGAGGGCATGGATGAAGGAAGCAGCAGATGAGCATGACGGTGAGCGGCTGGTTTGACCTGCTGAGCGCTCAAAGTCGGGTTGTTTGTAGTTGTTTTGAGGAATCCTTTGGTGATGCTTACCTAAGCATCTGTACCATCTGCTATCATCTGCATTTTTTCTGTATATTTAAGTTTTCCATGTTTCATACAATATTAGGAACTTATATGAAAAAGGGGGTAGATATTAAAGAAACTGAAACTGTAAGAGTGGTGGTAAGAGACACTCCTTTAGAGCACCACTGAGACGTTCAGAGATACTTTCAATACTACAGTGCTTATTTAGCCCTCAGAGTTAACATCGGCACATTCAGCAAGGCCTGCCAGGGTCACAGCCTTCCGGGCTTTTAAACAAGACGTCTTTGCAGCGAGAGGAATTGGTGCTGGGCAGATGAGGAGGAGACTGTACCGAGCAGGAGCTGGGAGGTGATCGCACTTTGGGTGAATAAGCAGCAACTCTGAATTTACCGACCTGCAGATCTACCAGGCCTGCTCTTTACATTATGCGTGGGGCTTGTGTTCAAGTTCTAACTTGTCTCTTGGTCAAATGGTTAAACTACAAACCTTATGACATTTCATGGGTAAAATAGGCTGTATAACTTAGTTTACTTGTAACTGACTTCTTAAAGTAAATAAGTCTGTCCTTTCATTTCCATTTCCTTCCTTTGCTCATCACTCTGTTAAAATATTCTTCCCACCTATTCCTCTCTTTCCTTTTCTCACTTAAGGATAATCAATATATGGACCTTCAGTTTTTTATGTTGAATCATTCACTTACTTTTTATGTCAACTCTGATCTTGTGTCCTTTTTTTGTATTTTAGGTCATACCCTTAGATATAACACTGGAACTCCAGAAGCAGATAATGTCGGAGTTAGAAATTCTTTATAAGGTATATAGATTTTCTCATTTTCAATTCTTGGTTAGCCTGGCTAAATGCATTTGGAGTCCATTTTGGTTTATATAGTAGTACTTAATAATTGAGTGTGCAAGTCTTCAAATAACCATGGCAAAGAATTGTTTCTTAAGGTTGACTTTCAATGCTGGTTCTGTCGGAACCAGCATCCTTATTAAGAAGGTCTGTCTTGAAAATCCTGAAAACTTGTAACTCCAGAGAGTGCACCCCACCTTCACTGCAGCACTTGGTACTTTAGTCCTGGTTAGCACCCTGGCTCAAAATGATGAAAAACGAGGGCATGGATGAAGGAAGCAGCAGATGAGCATGACGGTGAGCGGCTGGTTTGACCTGCTGAGCGCTCAAAGTCGGGTTGTTTGTAGTTGTTTTGAGGAATCCTTTGGTGATGCTTACCTAAGCATCTGTACCATCTGCTATCATCTGCATTTTTTCTGTATATTTAAGTTTTCCATGTTTCATACAATATTAGGAACTTATATGAAAAAGGGGGTAGATATTAAAGAAACTGAAACTGTAAGAGTGGTGGTAAGAGACACTCCTTTAGAGCACCACTGAGACGTTCAGAGATACTTTCAATACTACAGTGCTTATTTAGCCCTCAGAGTTAACATCGGCACATTCAGCAAGGCCTGCCAGGGTCACAGCCTTCCGGGCTTTTAAACAAGACGTCTTTGCAGCGAGAGGAATTGGTGCTGGGCAGATGAGGAGGAGACTGTACCGAGCAGGAGCTGGGAGGTGATCGCACTTTGGGTGAATAAGCAGCAACTCTGAATTTACCGACCTGCAGATCTACCAGGCCTGCTCTTTACATTATGCGTGGGGCTTGTGTTCAAGTTCTAACTTGTCTCTTGGTCAAATGGTTAAACTACAAACCTTATGACATTTCATGGGTAAAATAGGCTGTATAACTTAGTTTACTTGTAACTGACTTCTTAAAGTAAATAAGTCTGTCCTTTCATTTCCATTTCCTTCCTTTGCTCATCACTCTGTTAAAATATTCTTCCCACCTATTCCTCTCTTTCCTTTTCTCACTTAAGGATAATCAATATATAGACCTTCAGTTTTTTATGTTGAATCATTCACTTACTTTTTATGTCAACTCTGATCTTGTGTCCTTTTTTTGTATTTTAGGTCATACCCTTAGATATAACACTGGAACTCCAGAAGCAGATAATGTCGGAGTTAGAAATTCTTTATAAGGTGTATATAGATTTTCTCATTTTCATTATTCTTGGTTATAATCATCTTATAGCAAATTTTAAAACAGGCTTCTCTTTTTCCTTTCTTTTTCCAGTGTGACTCATCATATATCATAGGATTTTATGGTGCTTTTTTTGTAGAAAACAGAATTTCATTGTGTACAGAGTTCATGGATGGTGAGTTGTGTATCTACTGTGCTTTTGATTGCTAAGTATGTAAATGGGAAAATCATATAAAGATGTGCTTTTCCAGAATGGAGCAAAATGCAGTAATACGACTTGAAAATGTAAAGTATTAATAACTTCACAAGTAGTTTTTAAAAAAAAAACAGGTTAGTATTGCGACTGTGTTATATTCTTCATGGTACGCTGTATTTTCCCTGAGTGTAACTTCGTTTACTTTTATTGAAAATGTAAATAGAACAGAAATAAATGCTAGCTTAATTTGTGGTTTGATATTTGAGTCTTCCATACAATCTGTCCTCGCTGACAAAACAGCTGTTCCTCACTTCTACTGTTTTGATAGCCAAAACAGATTTTCTTTTAAAGAAATCTATTAACCCAATGTCCTATCTGTTTTCAGTGGAAATCGTCTCTTAATTGCAAGACAAGGAATTATTTTCTAACACAGCTGTTTAGCAGTGCTGCGCTGAGTTTCTTTTTGAGTGTACTCTTGTTTCTCCCAGTGTGAATCTTCAGACCAACAGTATCCCCTTCCCCACAATCTGATGCTACTGTCATTATGGAGATGTATTAGTACTTTGCTTTGAAATCTTGTGCTGTGTGGCATTCTTGGAGAAAAGGCAGGAAAAGTATGCTGATTACAGCAATTTATAATCATTGCTGCCCTCTGTGTATCAATTCTGAGAGCGTGTCTCATGACAGATGCGGTCTCCTTGTGTCTCGTGCGCAAGAACCCCCTTCACAGCATTCAACTCTTAACACCACGTTGTTGTTACAAGCAATAGTCTATTACTCTCTCCAGGATTTTCTTATGAGCCAGCATTTTAGGCCCTATCCAGGTTTTTCACAAAGGTTCAGTTAAGCTAGATATAAAGAGGTAAGGATCTCGCAAATAATTTGCTATGGAGGGAAGGCTTTCTGGCAGGAAAAATTTCCAAAGCCAAATGTGTACCATTAAGCATACTTGAGTAGCTTCTTTCTTTCTGATGGGGACCACGGATAAAGCTCTTCAGGGTTTTATGGTGCATTTTGTTTTCTCCCTGTTAAAATGGTCTGTTATTACGGTTATTTCTCTCTTCTTACACTTACTACCTCTGTCCCAGTGATCACTGTGCCCCATTTCCAAGTATGAGTATTCTCTCACATTTTCTGTATTTGATGAAAAAGTGTATTTATTCACCGAAGCCCACAAGTTAAATTCTTTGCTCTTCTCATGCTGTCTGACTACTAGCCATTCCTCTGTTCTGTCCTTGCAATTGCACTCAGACTTGCAAGCCTGTGTTAAGCGGTAGTCACATGCAATAAGGAAGCATCTGCTCATGCCAAAACATGCATCTGCCTAGTATGCTCCTACTAATTCAGAGATTTTTAAAAATGACAGACATAAATGCTTGCAGTTCCGAGTTCTTGTTTGAAAATATTTAAGCCTTTAGGGTATGCATCCCTCATGATGTTGCACAACGATGGTGTTTACTGACCATGCACAAATTACTTGGAATTATACTGGAGATGACCTCTGGTCTGCCTCATGTTGTGCACTCCTTCTGGCAGAAAGCAACAGCAATCATTTAAAGGAAGAATAAAATGCAAATAAAGGGACGTTGCCTTTTTTTTTTCCCCAGACCTTTAATTTTGATGCGTAAGGATGCAGGTGAATATAAGAAAAAATACTTTCTCACCCTGCAGATTAACAGCTTTAACCTTGACAGATTTTTAGCCCTTTTGACTGTCTTAGGCCAGTTTGTAGTATTTCCTGAATCCATATCCCATGACTCTGTTCGCCCAGTTGTATCCTGTACCATATTACAAAACATAGCTATTTCCTTTTTGAATTACCTAGATACAGATGGATCTGCCTCTTTTGGGATCCTCATGACTTAGGGGCACACATAGGGAAAAGGTGCACATATAGTACCACGTTGGTTCCTTCCTGGCACCTGCAAGCAGGAAAAAGCCAAGTAACTCCCAAGTCTGCAACTATCAAAACACTGAGGTTCAACTGACCTGGATCACCCTCCCACCTGCCAATTGATCTTAAAGAGCAACCGAGATGTGAAATGAGGCTTTCTAATCTTTGCCCTTTTATATTGATAATAAAGATGATATTCTAAATAAAGATGGTGAAATGCACTATTGCCTTTTACTTATGTTGTTGCCTCTTTTCCTTGAAACTGCTGAACACCTGCTAAATTCCCCTTAAAAGCAGCAAGAGGTGCAGGTTATCAGACTATACCTAGATGTCTACATGTAGATATGGGAGCTAACATTATTTGGATTTGAAAATGTTGTCCACTACAGAATTTTTTTCTCCATAGAAGAATGGCAGATTTCCCCGATTGTTTGCAAAAAGATACTTTTCTTCATTTTTCAAACAGCACTACCTTTAGTGACATCTGTAATAGCGAGACTTAGCAGTTTGGTATATGAAAATAGGTCTTTTTTTGTCCAAAATTTAAGGATATGTTATAAGCATCAACAGGAACCACCTGCCATATAATTGCCTTCTGTTTGGCTTTTGTAATGAGCAGTAGGTATCTGTGATGCTATGTCCTCTTATTTCCATTAAATAGTACTTACATTTACTTTTAAAACTGAGATTTATTATAATCCACAGGCCATGTGGACAATACAAGTTGAAAGATTAAACTTAATGAACGAATAGTAGTTTCAATGACCTAGAATCAGAGTATTAGTGAAGACAAACATATACTGTATTTCTGACAGTAGAGACGATGAGGAAAATGAGGGGAAAAAATCAACCACCACCAAACCCCAATCATTAGTATAAGAAATATAGTATAAATAAGAACTATTGTATAATTAAGGCTGAAGACTGGAATAAGGACCTTGTGACTTCTTTGGATTGCAGCATTTCAGAATGAATGGGTTTTACTTTTAAAAACTGAGCCATAAGCAAAGTACAAGGTGTAGTTTTCTTAGTTGCTGAGTATTGGCGTAACTCTTTTCCCAGTGGTGTCATCAGTAAAATCCATATGCTGCACTGAGAGCAGAGTTAGATCAGTGCTGAGCACTTCTGAGAACCTCAAGCCTTGAATAAGACAACACGCTCTTGCAAGCTAACGGTAACATGCTCTGCCTGTAATTTGCTTATCTTTTTTTTTTTCTTTCTTTCTTTCCATTCTACTTGGATATTTTTACTTCTCAATTTTAAATTTACTTTCTTGCCCAAGAATTTGTATTTCAGCCCAGGGACGCTTTGAACACTGGTTTGGTCATGAATCTCCTTTGCAGAAGATAAGGGAAACAATCCTTCCCAGTCCCTTGGGAATGTCTCTAGGGCCTATTAGAGGGACTTGGGCTTCTCGCTTTCCCCATGAATGTATGATGCTGGCTGGGCAGGGTTATGCCAGATAGCAAGTTGCGTCTCATACTGGAGATTACTGGCAAAACTTACCTGCTTGCCCAGGAGCTCCTTGTCTTTCATTTTCAGACATCAGTGTGGACACAGACTGCAACACTCAACCAAACTTTCACTGGTTTGATCATCAGGAGGAAACAGCTTTAAGCATATATATATAAGCATTGTATTAGATACCATGTAATGCTAGCGCCAGGTTTTGGGGACAAAGGTTAGGAAACTTCGGACTTTGAAGTCCACTGTTGCCTTTTGGGATGACTTCGTTATTCCCGAGAAGTTACTCCAAGCCTGATGGTTTTGAGTTCTCCAATTTCGATACTCTGTCCTGTGACTGTGAGGTTTTCTAACAGGAGTTTGAGTATTAATGCTGCAAGCAAAAATAAGTCATATGGGTGAAAAGAGGCCTGAGTACCGTTTCATGTGTTTATGCAGATTTTGGTAGATTTTTAAGGTCAGTTATTTCTGACACAGTTATTGTTATATCATTGATGGTGTTTTTATTAATAACCAAGGCCTAGAAAACCCTTGTGACTTCAAATCTAGGGCAGTATTTCATTTTGTATTACCTAAGCACATTTTGTTTATCCCTGCAGGGGGTTCTTTGGATGTTTATAGAAAAATTCCAGAACATGTACTCGGAAGAATAGCAGTAGCCGTAAGTACTTTTTTCTTTTTGTCTTTCAGTTTTTGATTGTGCATGTAACACGTCTCTGATTTGGGTGCACACGTGCCCCCTTGGGACACTGAATCATCTCCAGGATCCGTGTCCTCATTGTGTCTGTGTAAAAGGGAGGGTCCTTCCTATCTCATGTTCTTCCTAATCATCCTGTGTGCACAAGGACACCGGGGTTAAAGAAGCCTTCCTTTTGAATGACCAACACATGAGTTGCCAGAGGCTCAAGAAATGTGAAAGGATGTGATAAATTGAATGGGATAAGAAAAAAAATCATGAATTTGCTGGAGAACTGTGCAGTTGTGTTTCTTCGTATCAACCCTTGTAGGATGGAGCAGTCCTCTTAATCGCCTTTATTTAGCCTTTAAGTCCTGTGCTATGCGATTCCTTCAAAAAGTGATTCGATTCAGAAGCCCTGTCCTAGCCCTTATGGTGATCCCTCGTCTGCTGATTCTGCTGACTCTCCTGTGTGATTTCCATTCTAACTGTCCTCATTCTGTACAAAGTAACTCAATTAGATTTGCTTTCCAGGTTGAAAAATTAAGTCAGTTCCTGTTATCAAAATGCAATGGCAGAACACGTTTTCTGTCTTCCCTGGTGGTGGATGTACTGCTTAAGGCAGATAAGGAGGAGGCTGAAGTTTTTATTTGGCACAAGGCAGGCCTGAGAAAGGCTGCCTGGGGACAGGCTGCTCTCTCACCCCTATGCTGGGACCCTTTACACGTGAGCTGTCATGGTTGAAGAGCTAACAGTCATTTTAGGGGTGGTGAGCAGGGAGGTGGTCTGTGATCTGGGAAGAACTATCAGTCCCCAGTGCCTACTCAGTTTGGTAGTAAGGTGTTGGCAGTGGGATCCTTAGAGCACCTGGTAGCCCATCATTGTGTCTCAGCAGCGTTCAGTGACTTTGTGTTGCTAGAAATTCGTTAGCTGTGATTGAAAACTCAGACTACAGAACAAAAAAAAAGTTCCATATTTTGCCACAGCTGAGCACAGGGTAAACGACCGATGTCTTAGTGGATCTCACAAGGGAGAGAGATACTGCTAAACAATTGCTAAATATAAGGAATACTTTGATAACTTAAGCAGTTTAAAGCATAACAAAGTTATTCTATCATGTGCCATTTAATTAAGTGCTGGGTTTTCACGTTCATTATACATCAAGCTGACAATTTAAATCCTTTAATCCAACACAGGCAGCTATTTAGTCTCTGTTCATTGTAATTCACAGCTCTACTTTTTCTTAATTTGTGTGGCCTGCCCAGGGTGATGAACATCCTTCTCTGATGCTGTTTCCTCTAAGTGGTTTAAAATCTGCTCATTATATAGCCTAGCAGTTTCTTATGGAATTTGAATGCTTTTCACCTTTAGTTCAGAGTAAAAACGTTTCATCTCTTCTTCCCTATGGAGCAATGAATGATAAGTTGCTCAGGGTGTCCTCATATTCCTGACGCTAAGTAGCATGTGTATAGTGTAATAGTACTGGGATGGGCCTTCAAGCTTTTCTTCAGATGCTTCTTCCTTCTCCTTTTCCTTATCTCACTTCAGGTTGTGTACTTAATACATCCACGCTAACTTCCCTTATCATTTCCTTACTTGCTTTTGTCTCTCCTCTCCCCCATCCTCCCCTGCCCACATGGCTTGGTATTCTGCAGGTGTTCGCTTCCAGTTTTCGCTTATCCATAATGGTGGTGCTTTAGCCCCATCTTTTATGTCTTGGGTTTTTTTTGGGTTTTTTTTTTTTTTGTTCACCTGCAGGGTCATCTCTTTACAAATCTGTTAGTTAGTGAGCATGACTCCCTGACATGGACGGCGAGCTGATACTTAACTTCTGCTAGTTATTTTATTTGCTGCTTTAGCAACCTGTACCGTGCCCGCTGCAGTGCAGGGGGTCAGTAAAGAGGTGAACAAAGGAGCAGGTGCCTTCAGAGGAGGAACTCGCCCCTTTCTCCTGCTTCTCTGTAACAGAAGGTGTGCACTGAGGCTGAACCAGCACTGGCAGCTTCCTCTGCTCTGGTGCTGATTTTTTGCTTGATTGCCATAGTAGACTTGTTGGAAGGAGGCAGTGAAAGCCTTTGTTTTCTCTATAATTTATCAGTGGCAGCAGGAATGGCTCCTTTAAGTCTTCACAAATGGCTACCCTGCATCTTGGTGTCTGACATTTCGGTAGGGCCCAGCAGCCCATTTTGTGGGTTGGGGCACCTTTTTGCCAAGTACTGTACGCAGACACCATAATCCCCACCCCGAACAGCTTGTGAAGATTACCCAGAGCCTGGAGGATTTCTGTTGATGTACTGATGAGAAGGAGAATGTCAAACAAAAGCTGGAGCTTGCATGGATGTATTCTGTGGACAAAATCTGGAGCTTCCGTAGTCTCTTTTTTTTTCCAGTCTGTATGTTTTCTTTCTACCTTCCTTGCACCACGTACACAGTCATTTGTCTTTTATTCTCCCAAGACATGTACGATGCATTAGTCTATTGAAGCTGCTTAATAATATGTGTGACCTCCACATCTGTTAATTAGAATATCTTTTTGTTATATTTGTAGAAGTTTTTAAGGGAAACCATTTCCAGAGGAAAATGATGCTGGCACGTATAGACATTTAGTGGCACCCCAGCATTCCCCTCACTCCGACTTGATGATTTTCTTGCTTCCTTTCTTGTTACACAAATGTAATCGTCATGAAAAGCGGTGGACTGACAACCCTTATAAACGATTGTCCTGCTCATAGCAATGAGCGCGAAAGGCACAGGAAATTCCAGCTGGTCTAGAACAAGATCTGTGTCTGCTCAACACGACACGGCAAAGGGAGCGCGTTAGCCCTGTGCCGCACTTGCTCAATTAAACACTGAGTTGTACTCAAGGTCATTTCCTTGCACTCTTTGATCTCCACAGGCTGGGGCTGAACTACCTGAGGGACATCCCTTTCTTGACGACCCTGACTTTCTGTAGCCAAAAGGATAGGACGGTGTTGCTACTCATTTCTTAGTCATTTCCTTGAAATACTGCTATAAATACTTACCAGGTACCTGCAATGCACTGCTTAATGGGCGTGAATGGTACTTGCTTTCTCGTACACTCCCCTCCCAACCAGACTTTCTCATGATTTGGCAGGAACCAGAGGAGAGTTTTGTCTGCTGAGACAATCAGACGTTTTCTGATGATAGCAACTCCCACTGTATTTTTTCTGATGTGAACCCTTATCTGCTGAGAATTAAACTGGATATCACAGAGTCACATAGAATATATGTAGTCTTTACACCATAGTGTTCTGCATTCTTGTTATCCATTTCCTATTGAAGAAGGGATCACCGTTAATTGTGATGGACAATCGGCTTTCAAGCTGAAATAGCAGGAACGTATTGCTGAGTGTGATACTCTTCTCTCTCACTCAGCTATTTTTTTGAGGAGTAAAGGGTGGTGGGGAGGCTTGAAGCTGAAAAACAGGATGCTGAAAATAAAGCAAGGCAGCGAAAAGAAATCCTTAAAGGAGGAAAACATTTGTCAGGGCCTGGGGGAGAAGCACTGTTTTTTCAGGGGCAGGATAAAGTGGTAAGAGAGAGGTAGAGTCTGCTGAGACTTGGGTTCCCAAGAAGCTGGAGGGATCTCTGACTTCACATAAAATTCATCCTGGTTGCCTGTATGAGAGTGTGTCAATTAGTCAAAAAAGAAACCTCTCTTCTCTCGTGTTCTTTATTTGTGCAAAGGGCTGGTGTGTTTTTCCAAAGGAAAAGTATATCTTGGGAACCCCAAAGTGATGTTGTGGTCGCTCCTGTTTTCATACTGATGTGTACTTATTCGGGTCTACCGATGTAAAATCTGTTCTACCTTTGCTTGCCACTTCACACATTTATTTTCACTTCAATTTCTGAAGCGGTGACATTGTGCACTGTATTTTGAGTGCTAATGTTGATTGAAGTTCTCCCTGAAAGGATGTGCACTTGAACTGTCAAGAGAGTGAGTGATTGACAACAGGTAGAAGTACTTTTTGTGTCAAGGCTTTGTCAAGTCATTGTTGTAAAACCTACTTTACTGAATACCAATAATTCCTGCTAGATGTTCAATCAAAAGATACTCTGTTCCAGCACCATTTTAGAATAATATTTAATACTTAAGAGTCCTTCCCTAATAGGCAAAGGTAAGGTAAGTGAATAATGGTACTTTACATGAGGTTAGGCCATCTGGGGGGCTCCTGTGCACATGTTTGCAGCCCAGGATGAAGGGAAAAACTCTTTTCATTCCTTTGTACACTGATGCTGAGAGAATGTGAATGTGAGAGTGTGCTTAATACCATGTCTTTTATAACTGCTTATTCAGCACATGTTCCATAATAAAGATGTTTAATAACTCACAGCTGTTGATTTTTTTCCCATAGGAAATGTTTCCTTTTTTCTGTGAAAACATGCTTTAAAATAAATCATTTTATAATTATCTTAAAGATTTTAAAGTCTAAATATATGTTTAATAGTCAAAGCAGTTTACTGTTCACAAAATCACTTTCACCATTGGAGGAAGCCTGAAGTGTTGCACCCTCTTTATTTATTTTTGCATCAGTACTTTTTTTTTTTCTTCTTTTTATGTCAAAATGCTGTGTAAGTAGAATTCCCCTGTTTTGCTTTTTGAAAGGCTAACGTGAACAAGGCCACACCGCTGGGCATGCAGAATTTGACTAAGGCCTTTTGTTACAGGTAATTACCATCTGAGGCCATGAGATAGTTGGGTAGGGAGTGTGAGTTTAACGCTGAGGAATTGCCACCTGGAGCAATTTACTGGGGATCCGGAATCATTATTTGCTTTACAAAAGAGATTCAGATTCCACTGACGTTGTTTTTGGTTACAGAATAAATTTTAAAATGAGTTTCTAATCCAATAGGAAGGCTGGAAATTACTATGCTATCTGCTTTGAGGCTGTATATTTTTAGCACTTCTGCTTGATCACTGCAACAGATGTAATTTCCTTTCAGTCTACTCGGACAATGAAAAGAATGTAATTGTTTTGTCTGAAAAACTCATACAACTTTACAAACATTGGAAATGCTTTATTGTTCTGGAGATGCACAAAGAGAGTGTCTCAGGAAAATGAATGAAATGTCATCTCATAGATGGAAACTTTGTAAAAAAGATTTGCTTTATTAAAAAAGCTGGCTGAGAGCAAGGATGGTTTGGGTAAAAAGCAGTAGTAGAAATATGTTTGTTGAATCTTGTTAGTTCTCTGGGCTTGTAAAAGTAGTAAATCTAGGGGGAAAATTACAGTGTTAAAAATGCAAGGAGTATTGGGGTTTAATTACTTTACAGAAACAAAACCTGCAGAGAGGATAACTTGTAATATCCAACTGCTTTCTTAGCGAGTTGACTGAACGGCTTGTTTAATTTGGGGCTATTATAATCATATTGTATACAGAAAATAAACAGAGTAGCGGCTGGATCCAGTGATGATCTTGCCAGATCTGAAAGAGCTGTATGTACGTATTCTGTGTAAGGAAGTGTCATGGGTTGTTCTTTTGGGAAATATACCTGCATTCATGCTACAAATGCATGTCCTACGAATTTTCATTAAAATGCATCTCATACATAAGGCACTCCAATGTAGTACTGGAGTCACAGGTTTTTAAATTTGGTTTTAACAGTTTAGCTAGTGGAAGGAGCAAATTCTGGAATAGCAGGCCAAAGTCTGCCACAATTCTTATCTTTTAGGGGTCCCAGTTGTATTTTCTGGGGCTATGGGATACATACAGTAAGGCTTGCATTTGGTCCAGAATGAGTAATATGAAGAAGACAACAATTTGTACAGTTCAAGAAGAAATGTTCAACATTTGCATTGAGTAAGTGAAAGCATGGGAAGTAAAGGAGGAAAAAGTACAGATGCACCAAATGGAAAGAAAGGGAAAGGGAGGATGAAGTGGAAGAGGCTATTAGAGATTTTGTTATTTTCTGGCCTTTAATTTCACTGGGTTGCTTTTGTTGCAGGAAGACAAATCATTATGCACTTTGTCTTTTATGATTTTTAACACCCCAGGAAAGATAGATGAATTAAAAATACATTGAAATCCCTAAAGGGATTCGGTATAAGCTCAACTAACTTCAACTTGCAGATCCTGGGAAGAAGCTTATTCGTGTGTTCTTAAAGAACCTGTTGCCTTGTAGTCCACAGGAGGTTTGCAGCAGGGGTTCATCTGGGTCCTGCAATCCTTTGGAAGGGATGCTTTTGTCTCCCCTTTTCGTGGTCCTGGCCCTGTTCTTCATTGGAACTCGGGTCTTTAACGACTCGCGCCAGCTGAGATGTGTAGTGTTTCTTACCAGGAATCTTTAATATGTGTTGTTGCTTTTTCTTTTAAATTCAGGTTGTGAAAGGCCTTACCTATTTATGGAGTCTAAAGATTTTACACAGAGGTGAGTAACAGATGTTTTCTGTTTTCCAATGAAATACCATATCATTTTATTTTAACAACACTTTCTACAGAGACAGTAGACCATACTAAGATCTGGTTTGATTCCAGTGGAGTAATGCAGAATGAATCTTACTCATTAGCCTTGCAGATTTTCTGATAAAATATTTTTACTGCTGTTCTCTTTTATTGCCCTCCCTCCTCCCCTACAAAGAAAAAGACTAAAGAGAGAAATTAATTTTACAGAGATTTAGATGCTTAGGGTTACAAACAGGTGCCCAGTGGAAAAATCAGCAAGGAAAATCAGATGTTTGACTAGTATTGAAAATAGAAGATAGATAATGAATTTTTTTATGTACTTCAGAAATCTCATGTGACAGCCACAAGCGTTGCTAGAATCTCGGATCTCTAAAGCCCACGCCCACTGTCCTTTAACATGGTCATGAATAATTAAAGAAAACTTGCTTGGACATAAGCCATTTGTGGGTTTTGCTGTTTATTCTCCTTCCTGAAGCTAATGTATTTTTTTTGAA